CACCAGAGTTCCTGCGTTAATTCTTCCTGATGGATGCCTCCCTCCCTTCCCATAAAAGGGAGAGCCAGGAAGCCTTCAAACACTTCCTCCACGCCTTCTGCGAGACTGAGAAGCACAGCACAGAGGCGCCTCAAGTCGCCCAGCCCCTCCCTCCCAGGCAATGTCTCACCTCTAAGTGGAGGAAGAGCACCGTACAAGAGTGAAAGCAAGGCTTAAGTGACCAAACAGCCCTGGATGTCAGGACAGAAATGAGCTATGGCACTACATCTTACAGCAGTTACGGAGAAACGAGGTCTGTTACCTACATGCTAACATTTTACCTATGTTGCAATTGCTGTTGGTTATGCAATCACATCACACCTAGTTTTGAGCGAGCTTGCTCAAGCACTGCTAAGCATGCAGCATAGACTCCTAAACTAATTATCAGGTTCTCCAGATAAGTTTCTCATTTCACAACTGTTAATTCTCTGTCAAAGGTTTATAAAGTCACTTAATACACAAGTAGTTACCTTTTCCTCTGTTCCAAGTGGTTAAATCAATCTCTGTATGCTTGTGCGACCTTATTATACAGCCTTCCATATAAATGATTTCATTCATTTTCATTTCTAAAATGCCCACAGCAGCACCAGCAATTTCAAGATTTCTAGCAGTGCTGAAAGCTCCCTCCATTATAGAAGAGCGATCTGTAGCATTACTATACTGAAATACTCTTCAGTGCCAACAAAAGGGTCAGCTTAGACTATCAAGGTTTTACTCTTCCAGGAAAAGAAACCCTTGAAAAAGTTAAAGCTACCTATAAAGAACAGTGAGAAACTGAACTTCAAGAAGTATTAATATGTAAACCGACAAACTAACATCATCATCAAAGCTCAGTGGTTTCCCTGCCTAAGAACTTGTTTAGTTCATTATTTAGTAGATTGAGAGTTTTTCTGAAGTCCAATTTTTAAGAAATTCAGAAGTGATTGCTACTGTGAGCTTGTTTGCTACTAGTAAGAATAATCACTTAACTGTTCTAATATTAGTGACTTATTTTTAGCAGAGAGGAGTGCTAGAATGACTTACTAAGATGCATACCATAGGCATGCAGTAAGCAACAAATCACCCTTAAGCACCATTAAGTCTTAAAAAAACAAAAAAAAACAAAAAAAAAACAACACCTACGAACTACCTAAAACAAGCAAAAGAAAACACTCAGAAACTCTTGCTGAAACGCACCAGTCACAGAGCATGGAGGCTTACACACTCTGTTTGCTCTGAGATCAGCTTCCTGAGGCTGAACCACACAAAATCACTGCATTTAACCCAACAAGCTCGGTTAAAACCAAAGAAACTCGCACTGCCAGCTGTGCTCTGCCTGCAGAAGGCCGAACGGCACCGGGAGCCTTAACTTCTCTGAGGCCGCAGCTCCCCTACTGTCACACCGAAGAGCTCCTGAGGAACGGATTTTACCCAGGGAGAGGAGCGATCCTCCAGAAGCTTTAACAGCGTAGAAAACGAAGCTGTTCGAACGGAAGTTAAACGACTTGTTTCTTTAAAACCACCACGAAGTCTCAAAGGGACGCGGATAGCAATTCAGACAGAGCTCTGCAGCTCGGCACGTGGAAACCTACGGCATTTCGGAGCCAGGATGCTTTTCCTCGCCGTCTCCCGGCGGCACCGACTCGGGGCTGACAGCTCTCCGCCTCCGCCGCCCCCCGCTCCAGGGCCGCTGCCGCCCGCTTGCGGCGGGAGGAGAGGGGAGAGACGGAGCGGCGGCCCGAGAGCGGCCCGGAGTTACCGCCGCGGGCGGAGAGCCGCGAAGCCGGGGAGCGGCGGCGACGACTGCGCGTCCCTCCCCGCCTCTCGCCCGCCCTCCCCTCCCGGCCGCCGCACGGCCTGTTCGGCGGCCGCAGACAAAGGGAGGAAACGGGGACGAGCCGGGACAAGGAGGCGGCGGCGGCCCCGACAGCCGCATCCTTCCCCGCTGAGCAGGAGCCGGCGGCGCGCGGCGGGAGGAGGACGGGCCGGGGGCTCACCAGGATCCGCTTGAAAAGGTTGCTCTCCTTGGGCGGCAGCGGCACGGACGGCATGATGCGGGCGGGCGGCCGCGGGGCAACGCGGCTCGAGGTTGCGAGGAGCGGCTGTCGCTGCAAGAAAGGGAAAGGAGGCGGGGGAAAGGAAAAGGCGATCCCCAACTCGGCTCACGAGCGGCGGCGACTCTTCAACTCATTGGCCTGCACCGCCCGCCCCGCCGGCTCCCCTCGGGCGCAGCGCGCGAGCGCGGCTCCTCTGCGCAGCTGCCGGGGAGGCCTCGCCGCCCGACTGACGCTGCAAAATGGCGGCCGGGGTCCCCCGCCGCGCATGCGCACCGCAGCCTGGCGCGGGGTGGGGGGGGGGCGGGTGGCGCCGGGCTGTTTGCTTCCCGCCCGCTCCCTGTTGTGTGGAGGGGTTGGTTGGGTCGGGGTTTGCTTTTTTCGTTTTGAGGGCAGTGCTTGGTTGTTTTTTGCTAGCTTCGACCGCACACTGAGGCGAGGGGTCCTCGAAAGCGCCCCGAGTGGGGGAGGAGGAGGAGGATGGGGAGGAAGGGGAGGAAGGGGACTGCCGCCCTCAGAAGGTGTAAAAATAACTCCGGCTCGCTGAAGCCCTGAGTCATGGCTATTTCAAAGCCTTCGAAACTGGATGCTTTTTTTTTTTAGTCCTTTCAGCGCTCGGCCTCGCCAGGCCGTGCTGAGATAAGGCAGAAAATCTCTTTGTCCCCTGCAGCCTCCCCCTCTCCTCCGGCCCTCATTGCCCGCTGTTGGTGCCCGCTGTCAAGCTGGGCTCTGGGTGAGCCGCCAGCCTGGCCTTTGGGATGTCATCTATGGCATCAGCTCTTTGTTCAGTTGCTTACACAAAGCTTCCCAGCATTACCGTGCGTGCTTAGAGCAGTGTTTTGTCGTGGCTTGGCTCCTCCGACAAGGGAGGCTTAAGGTGTTTTGAAAAATGATTTTTTCCTTGTCATTTGCAGAAATAACTTTTAAATGGATCTTTGCAAAGCTAAAGAACAAGCCAGCAGCACTGAAACCACACAGCATGGGGTGCTTCCTTGGGAGGGAAACTGGTTAAGCCGTCAGAGTTGCAATCAATTAAAAAGATCGTGCTGGGGAAGGAATGGTGGGGCGGAAATTAAACAGCTTCAATTAGAGTCCCTGTTAACCACTTTTTAAATACATTAGTTGTGTTTTAAAATAATATTATTCCTATAATAACATGGTTATCACCTACTTACTTTTATAAGGGCGTATAGCAACAGGAGATGAGGGGAAATGGTTTTAAATTGACCGAGGGCAGATTTAGACTAGATATTAGGAAGAAATTTTTTGCTGTGAGGGTGGTGAGACACTGGAACAGGTTGCCCAGAGAGGCTGTGGATGCCCCCTCCCTGGAAGCGTTCAAGCCCAGGCTGGATGGGGCTTTGAGCAACCTGGTGTAGAGGGAGGTGTCCCTGCCTACAGCAGGGAGTTGGAACCAGATGATCTTAAAAGTTCCTTCCAAATCATTCTGAGATTTCTACTGCTCAGGTGATGAGCTCAGTGGATGCGCATAGCAAAGCAAGCATGTGGAGATAACAATTAGGAAGGCTGTACACTTAACAGGCTGTATTTGGTTACACAAAGCAAGCAGTGGTATGGCTGAGGCAGCAAATCCCAAGCAGCGTGCCCTTTGACTTCTCAGAAGCCTTGCTAAACCCCATGGACATTGGTCCTTCCTTTCGTGTTGGAGGGGCGGAAAGTGGGCATGGTTTTGGAATAGTAAACTGTAAGGCTAAGCCTAATTCAGGGTCTCAGAGTCTGAATTTTTTTTCTGAGCAGGTGTACTGTTGACAAGGACAGCTCTGCTGCATCATTTTCAAGGTCTGCACCACAGCACTGAATTAGCACTGATTGTAACTTGTTGGAGCCATGGCTTCATGAACTCAGATTTTCTGTCCTTGCAGTAGGCTTTATGCCTTTGGTTGGTTTCTGTGGTAAACACCTCCAAGATGGTCAGGTGAATACTGTGCTCAGTGAACTTTTGGTCTGAGACAGTAAGGCTGTTCTTTATAGCAAAGTGTCAGTTCCCTGCTAGTCCAAATACTGGAACAAACGCCATCTGAAAACAGGCAAAACTGCAAATGAGAGGCAGGCATTTGATCTGCATTTCAACATGTGTCTGTATTACAAATCCGTGTTGAAAGCAGCAAGAAAAGGAGAGCAAGCTGGCAGTAAAGAAACAATTTTAGACTAGCTGAGAGAGACTAAAGATAGAAATGAGCGTTGGGGGGGGCAGAGGGCTGGTTGAAAGTGAGGTTTGGAAGTACAGTCAGGAAAACTTCTTGTCATTTAATCCCACTGCGCTTGGCCAAACAAAGCCCTTTCTACAGGCTTTGTTAATAAACAGGGCTGTATTCAAGGCATGTGTGATTCTGTCACCAGTTTTCCCTACAAACAGAAAGAATTCAGAAGTCTGTCAACAGATTATTTAGGTCAAAAGCGGGAAGAAACATCCAAGCACAACTCTTATGAGGAGCAATTGAGGGAACTAAGATTGTTTGGTCTGGAGAAGAGGAGGCTCAGGAGAGACCTTATCGCTCTCTATAAATATCTGAAGGGAGGTTGTGGTGGGGGGGGGGTCAGCCTGTTCTGTGTAACTAGCAATAGGGCTAGAGGGAATGGCCTCAAGTCGTGCCAGGGGAGATTCGTATTGGATATTAAGGGAAATTTCTTCTCTGAAAGAATGGTTAGGTACTCGAATGGGCTGCCCGGGGAGGTGGTTGAGTCATCGTCCCTGACATCTAATCTAAATCTCCTCTCTTTTAGTACAGCCCCCCGCAACCCCCCTTGTCCTTTTACTATCCGACCATGTGACTGTGTGAAAAGTTGGTCCCCCTCCTGCTTATAAGCTCCCCTCAAGTACTGGAAGGACTCAATGAGGTCTCCCCAGAGCCTTCTCTTCTCCAAGCTAAACAAGCCTGGCTCCCTCAGCCTGTTTTCATAGGAGAGGTGCTCCAGCCCTCTGATCATCTTCATGGCCCTCCTCTGGACTTACTCCAACAGTTCCTCATCCTTCTTCTGCTGGGGGCCCCAGGCCTGAATGCAGTACTCCAGATGGGGCCTCACAAGGGCAGAGTAGATGTGGACAATCCCCCCCCCCCCCCCTTGTCCTGCTGTCCATCCTTTTGAAATCAAGTTGGCAACTTAAAGTTGCCAGATTTGAATTTAAAAGCACATCCCAAGTGCCATGTCCCGTTCCCTGGAGCCTGGGAACCTGCTGCTGTCACTTCCCCACTCTGCCTGCTGGCTGAGGGCAGCAGCACCCTGCCCTGAGCACCACCTGCAAGCCACAGGCCTCCGTAGGCCAAAGTGAACCATAAGGGAGGTGGAAGCACAGACAGAAATGGAATTTCCCATCTTTTATACTCAATTCCCTTATTCTATTTCAAACATCATCCTGGAAACGGAAGGAAAGAGTGTTTCTATTCGCTGGTATTATGAGATATGAGGAATATGTCCCCTGAGTCCAGCCTGTGTCCAGTCTGCTGGCTGCTGGGCAGTGCTGAGAATCTGTTAGCCTGTACTGTCATGTATAGAGTTAAGATGAAGAACTGCCAGCAAGGATAGTGAAAACTGAATCACGATTGCTTTTAATCAGAGGCTTTAATGTAATAGCTGTTTCTGGCTGCACTAGGAATTGATGTGATTTTTCTTGGCCTACCCTCTTCTTTTTCATTCTGTTTTGTAATTTTGAGTGCATGGCCTGCCTTTAGTTTTCATGTTCTTATTAGCTTTTTGGTTGATTGCCCATAGATCACCTTTTCAAGATTTTTAAGTGTCAGATTGAAGGCTCCTGGAAGACTGCAGGGAGCTGTTTGCTGTGGCCTCTTTGTAAGTTGGATGGGCTCTAGGATGGCTCCTGGTTTCTGAAGCTGTTTTATAGTCTCTTCCCTTTGCCTCCTGTCCTCCTGAGGGGCTGAGCAGAGCCAGGAGCAGCCCTGAGAGTGAAACAAGAGGCTGGTTATCGTTTGTATGCTGGTGAGGTTTGGTACAAATCTTCCCATCGTTTCATTTTCAGCCTTTTAGGTGTATTTACCTCGCCAAAACTTGTTGATGTTATATGTGCCAAATACAGTGTTTTTTATATATATATATTTAATCCTGTTGAATGACAGCAGCTAAGAAGAAAGAAACCTAAAACCCAGTGTTCTCTAAGGCATTTACAGTGAAGTTGGATTTGCTAAAACATAAAAAAGATAGGGAAAGTTCCTGTAAAAGAAGCAAACTTCGGAAGAGAGAAGGACTTCTTAGTGCAAGCTGTGCACCTAGGGAGAACATAAGACAGTTTCAGGGAGTTTTTCATCTGAGGTTTGAATACATTTTCCTTCTATGACATGCATAGGAGTAAATTGGCCTTTAGGGTGATTATAGGTATAAAAAACATTGTTACGTAAAGTCTTTTTAGAACGTGAATATAATGAGGGGTATAGATAATATCAAACAGATTATACAACTGCCTGTTAGCTGAATGATGAGAACGGTTGTGTTGAGTAGCATTTTGTGAGTGGTGTTTGCCTTGTGTAGTGTAGTCCTAATTCATATGGAGTATAATTACAGCCAGCCCTGACATGAAGTGGAACTTTGATTTGAGTAAAGTTTACGTAAAACAACAATCTCTGCATAACCAGATTTGAAACTCGGGGTATTTTCAGCCCATGTTTTGGGAACATACACAGGAAAGTCCACTTATGTCACAGCACAGAACTTGCAAACAGGACGATTCCCACTTGTTGGTGCGCTTGTCATTTTAGACAAAGCGTGTGCAGCTGTGCAGCTGTGAAGAAAATATTGAGAATGTGGGTCGAGATTTACTTGTAAGATCTTTTAAAAATGATTTCGGAGCCAGCATTTCACAATTTACTTGTAAAGCTGTTAAAGCCGTGCTTGCAAATCTGCGATCGCTGCCCCCAGGGTGATTGCATCCGCGGGCTGGAGGAGAGCAATGTGCTGCAAGGACAGACGGAGGGACGGCCGAAGACAGGCGGCTGCTGCAGCACGCCGGGAGTTGTGTCTGTGAGCAGGCATGCTGGGAGTGCGAGTCTTTCCACTTCACTTCCTGTCTGCAATGGCCTCGTGATGTAAGGCAGGACCTGTCTGGCGCTTCCATTTGGGGAGGGTGAGTCTGTAGGCTCTGTGTGCGACACGGAGCCCGCTCTCTGCCCACTCTGGGTTGCAGGGGCTGAGCCCAGCCAAGCCAAGGCAATTACTGGCGGCTGCCTGCCGGCCTCTGGCTCACAGGGCTGCCTTCCTGCTCTCCCAGTGAGCCCTGCGCTGGGGAGGGCTGCACGGGGTTCTGTGCCTGGCTTTTGCAGGAGGGCTGCTTGGTGTAGCTGAGGTGGGATGCAGAGGGCTGTGAAAAGGGGGCTGAGGGCCCATGAAGCCTTGAAGGTGCCTCTCTGTGGCTGCATCACTGAAACCCCTCCCTTATGCATATGTATTCTTATGCATCTCAGCGGAGTCGGTTTCACTGAGTTAATAGTATCCTCGATCATTAGAAGTGATTTTTAAAAGCTTTTAAATGAGTTACAGCGTTGATAGTTGTCCCTTAACTAGAAATGAGCTGATCTATTTATTTTTGTAATGAGACAATCCCAGCTGTCGTTGTTACAGACCCGTTTTGATTTGTGATGTGTTTATGTTGCCCACTGGGTAATTTTGTCATGTTCAGAAAGTCGCTAAGAACTAGTTTGAGAAGCAGTTAATAGGCAGTCTGCTGTACGTGGCTCTGTAAAAGCTTTATGTGGGCTTATTTCTGCACAAATGCAGGGTGACAGCGTCTCTCTAAGGAGGAAACAACTTTGTTTTGTCAAAATAAGAATAAAACAAATCTATTTCAAAATCTCTGACTCTCTCTCGAGGATTGGTGTCATGCAGTTGCTTAGTTCTCTAGGCATTTGAAAGTGAGTATTTTACTTCTGAAAGCTCAGGCAAAACTCTACAATGAATTAGTTCTTATTTTCACGCGTTGTTAGCTCTAACTACAGCAGCATTTCTCTTAACAGTGGTTACCACTTGACTGGACGATGAGTGGCCATTCTGACTTGCAGTAAATAGAGGCAACACCACTTCATCAGCAAGATTAAATGTTTTGAAGTTAAGTCCAACATGTGCCCCGAGGAATTAAGTCCAGGAGTGCAGATGCTGAGTCTGACTTGTGTATTCTGACTTATTCTTGGTGAAGGAAGTGGTGTCCCTCTACTACTCAGTCACTGGAACAATCCATAAGGATTACTGTTGGTTTTCTGTAAATCCAATTGTCCTTAAAAGTGCAGCTGTGAGTTTGGTAGTGCCTGCCAGCTCTGGGGAATGTGCAGAAGCAGAATAGAGGCCCTTCCCCCTCTTTCTAGCTTTTCCAGTTTGTATAGGCAGTGAAATAGATGGCTGGGCAAGCAAGATGCAGTACCTTTTTTTCTGTACATTGCTGTTACAGGACAGTCCTTTGTTACAGGACCCATGGATGAAAGTAAGTAGGATGAGCAAAGCAGCAGTGACACTAAGGGTAGCCTGTGTCCTGCAAAACCGTGCATCAAGTACCATGCAAAAATAAAGGGACTGGATTTCAGAGTACCATCTTTGTACTCTCCCTTCTGATAGAAAATATGTCTGTCCCTTACCTGCAAGTGTATTGTGGGAAGGAAATAAAGCACCGTTCCCATATCTGACGTAAGACTCACATGGATAAGTAATTTCATGCAAGTATGTTGTAGCCCCATTGACTAACCTTTTGCAAAATCACCCTGATGTTGTTGATGTCCACCTGCCAAAGTTGTATTCTCTTATGGTAGTGGGTCTGATATTGCATATACTGCACATTTTGTACCTTCTTCATGTAGAATTTGATGTCTGCACTGTAGATGTGTTTTCTCACAGCAGCATTTTTGTTTTGCCAGTAAGGCAGGAAATGGTTCAGTTTCTCCAGTGAGAAGTATGGCAAATGAAGCTGTTGTATCTAAAGCATCATCTAGAGTAGATCTTCTACAGCATAAACACTGAGAAGGTGAGGGAAAGGATTTTTCCAAGCCTTTGCTGGTACAATGTTGCTGATAAGAGTTTCTAGTTTAAACTAAGACTGAAAGGAATAGTTCTGTCCATAACGGTTCAATCTGTGTTGGTGTAGTCAAGAACAGAATTGATACAGGTTGGATTTTTATTATTATTACTTTATTATTACTTTATTATTATTATTACTTTATTATTACTTTAACCAAATGCTTTTCCATAGATGGTGAAAGTGCTCCGTGTCTCATACTGCTAATTTCAGGCGGTGGAAGAATAAGAAACGATATGAAACCTCCACAAAGTGTCTGTTTTTTCAAGAACCTGCTTTCTGGTTTCTACTGTTATGGTCAGCTTCACAATTCCCCTCTTCCTTCTGTTGCAAAGAAGATGAGTTGTGTGATGAGGCTGCACAGCCGTGGATTTTGGAGGCCAGACTCTTTGCTGGACACGGCTGGATTCACTCTGTCATCTCACAGTCAGCTTAGGAAGAAGCATCAGGACTCTCGAGCATTGTGGAAGCATGAGGCTGTGCAGAAGTATCTGGAAACTCTGAGCAAGGAATACCAGCAGGTTAATAGTCTGCTAAATGCTGATTCAAAAAATGAATCTGAGCAGAGGACCCTGAGGAGAAGACGTGCTGATCTGTCCCCAGTTGCAACTGCATTTCAAGAAATCAAAGAGGCTGAAGGCGAGCTCCGGGAATTAGAAACCATGTGTAGAGGTAAGGAGTGCACATCTGCTTAGTCATTTTGAAAGAGTGGCTTTGCTTGTGATAAACCTCATTGCTCAGCCTTCATGGAGAGCTTTTAAATGAATTAAGCCAGCTCTGGAACGCTCTCTGGTATTGTCTGTTCCTGGGAGCTTGAGTCCCTTTAAGGCTTTCTAGATCCAGACGTTTCCTTTTATTTTTATGCTATCTCTCTTAATACAGGTCTTAATGCAGTCAACTTGGGAAAGTAGGGGCTGTTTGGACTCTGTGGGCTATGCATCTTGCAGAAATAGTTTGGAAATGTTTGCTTTAGGTTCTTTTTTGGTAGAGCCAAGAGCAGTATGAACTGCAGGATAAACATCAGCAAGTCTTGCCTATTGAATAGACACTGACTACAGCTATGCCACTTAAAATGGGATTCCAGCTAGCCAGTTTGATGCTTATTAGGCAAGCTATGTGAACTGCCATAATTAGGTCCTGAATTGGCAGCTTCCAATGTAAATGGCAACATTTAATAGGTCTTGGAGGATATTTGAGAAGTCCTATGGGGAAAGCTGATGGTTATCCAAAAAGCTGCTGCTTTTCAATACTATGTTGCAGTAAAGTTGGGGTAAAAAAAAAAAAAAGGAAAAAAAAGAGCTTGACCCTCTTTTTGATACTATTCAGGAAGAAGAAAGTAGGTGGGCAGTAAAAGGACTTGTGGTGCAACATTTTGAAAAGATACACTAACACACTGTGAGAAGAGTGAGGCACTGTGCACAGCCGGAAGGAAGAATGTGGGGCATTCTGCTACACCAAAACAGACATGAAGATAAGATACAGTGACCTGGAAAAAATGGGACTTGCACTAACACAGTTAAGGAAGGGAAAAGCAAAGAAGGGGAGAAATGGATACTTAGCAGTTTAAGAGGAGGAGGATTGAAGTTCCTGGTAATTCTGGGAGGAAGAACCATGGAATGTTGACACATCAGTAAAAGCCATGTTGAAATAAAGCTTGTAGAAACATAGCTGGTAACATTTCTTGCCTGCTTAAGAAAGATAGAAAATACCTGTGTTCCTCAGTTTTGGAAATAAGTGGGTATGTTTGTGCTTTAGAAACAGTGGCTATAGAAAACACTTTACAGAATCACAGAATGGCCAGGGTTGGAAGGGACCTCAAAGATCATGAATCTCCAACCCCCCGCCACATGCAGGGCCACCAACCTCCACATTTCATACCAGACCAGGCTGCGCAGGGCCCCATCCAACCTGGCCCTGAACACCTCCAGGGACAGGGCATCCACAACCCCTCTGGTTTCAGTACCTCAGGCAGGGGGGTTGGAGATTCATGATCCTTCATGATCTTCCAATCCTGGCCATTACATGATTCTGTAATTCTATGTGAATTGATAAAGGTCAGGGAGGAGGTAGGAATGGGACAGCAGTCATTTGTACCCCAAGCTTCTTGCCACCAGCCCATTCTTCCATCTCTGCTGACAATACCTCATCTGATACCTTCTATTCAACCAATCCATAAGGATGCTTTTCAGACCACCTAGAAGCCTCCTGTTCAGTGCCATCTTTTGGTGGAGCTGTGACATACAGGTAGGGTTACCTATGTAGTTCCTGCATTAAGTACAGAGGATGCCAGGCTCACGTGTTGATCTGCCATATTTTATTTAAAGAAAAACAAAACCGACCAACAAACCAAAATGGAATGTAAATTATAAAGCAGAATATGAAGGAGCTGCCACTATCCTTGTCCAGGATACAAGGCTGGTTCATCTCAGCCCTCTCCGTTCTTGGGACTTGCTGCTGAGGAGAAAAAAATAAAGGGGTGCTCCCTATTCTGGCATGTTGGTTTTGACTCCAGCCGTCTTTTAACAGTCTGTTTAGTGCATGATCTCGTGCATTGGCATCTTCCATTACTCTTAACTGGAGCCTCTGTAGTAGAAAAGATTTGGAGCTTCTGTTAGCTTTGTTTGAGAATGTTTTGCAGCTCTAAAACGTAGGAGAGCACAACTGAGTCACAGAACTGTAGGACTGATTAGGTTGAAGGAGACTTTTGGAGGTGATTTTGACTGATGTTCTACTCAAAGCAGGACTGCTTAGAGCAGCCCGACTGCGGTCTTGTCCAGTTGAATAGATCCAAGAACAGAGATCCTACAGCTTCCCCGAGCCCATTTCAGTGTCTGACAACCCTTAGAGTCAAAATAATTTTCCTAATACCTAATCAGAATTCCCCATGCTCCAGCTTCTGTCTTGTTTTATGACAATATACTTTGAAAAGACTTTGTCTTGAACTTTTCAGTATCTTTCTGTGAGTCAGCTGTACACAGCAATAAAAACTCCCCTCAGTCTGCTCTTCTTAAAGCTGAACAAACCCAGTTTCATAGAATCATAGCTTGGGCCTGGGTCGAAAAGGACCTCAAAGATCATCTAGTTTCAATTCCCCCCCACAGGCAGGGTCACCAACTACTAGACCAGGCTGTCCAGAGCCACATCCAGCCTGGCATTCAATGCATCCAGGGACGGTTTTCTTGACCTCTCCTAATATTTTCTTTGTTTCCATCCTGGACTATCTCTGTGGCTCTTAGCTAGACTCATTCCAGTATCTCCATGCCTTATCTGTACTGGGGAGTTCAAAACTGGACAAAATACTCACCTAGGCTGAGCAGATGGGAAGGGAATCTCTTCAAGCAAAGGAAAGAGTTAAAGTGAGGTCTTCCACGTCCTGATGGCTGAAGCCATAATACTCATATCTCATTGATTGCTTGATTAGCAGGAGGCAGAAGGTTAGAACCCGTGTAATTGTCATCATACTTACATTTTTAATGCTTGTCCTAATGAGCTGGCTGCAAAGTACTGCACAGATAGCAGTTTCTATGCTAGTCTAGAAATGGAAAGTCTTGTTGCATGTGAAATAGTGGTAAAGAAAACTGAGGCACTCTTTTCTCCAAGCGTGTTTTTGACATATTTTGTTAAATCTCTTGGTGGGTTTGCCTCTGCACTGTCAGTCTCTGTCACATAACTGTGAGTACACTATAATTGGCAGCAAGTAACTGTCAGGTGGGACTGGCATTTGTGTGATGCTGACTTGGAGTCATAGCCAGGAGACTGGGAAGTAATATATCTCAGCTCCTTCCAGCACCTCTGGAAAATGCTGTCATTTAGTTAGCAATACACATCCTGGCTTCAACTGCTCTTCTTTGATATTTCTTGCTGGCACAGTGAAACTGCATGCACTGCAAGCTTTTAAATGCTGTAAAGTGTGTCTTTTGACAGCTGTATTACGATCTGCTGTAAGCTAAGTAAGACTGGCTAACATTTATTCCTATTGTTGGAATTCAGAGCTGGGCAGCAGAGAAGAGAAGCAACTGCTAGAGCTTGCCTTAGAAGAGAAGGAAACCCTTGATAAAAAAATCAACACGCTGTGCAGAAAGGTGAGCCTGAGGTAAAAATACACAGCTTCATAAATAAATGTCAGGAAAATGTTCCTTTGTGATCTTGCCAATAGACTCTGACACTTGCATTTAATGAAACAGAAGGCCAGCTTCTCTATTTTCCCTGAGAAGACATGGCAACATTAATTACTGGTAAGCTTCTTACTGACAAATGCATCTTGGAAGCTAATTATTTTAGGCATTTCTGCTTGCTTGCTTGTCCATCTGGAGATGCTGAAGGGGATGTGAAGCTGTCTGTGCTGTTGAGACCTTGCGTGACATCCAAGTAACTCTTGTGGCAGCAGAGCGTGCATTCTTGAAAAGGTTTCTGATTGGAACCTTCAGTATTTCATTTTCTCTTCAGCTGGCAGCTCCCCACGAGCAGGAACATAAATCATAAGCAGAGAAGCTGAAAAAGTTTGGTAGAAAGCTCTGTGTTTGGGCTCATTTCTATGTTGAGATTGAGAAAATGGGAAATAGAACCTTCTGAAACGTAAGGTTCGTGTTTGTGTGAAGAGTGGCTGGGCAATAGCTGGTGACTTTGTGCTCCAAGGTAGTTGGGGCTGCAGTGGGTGACCAGGCACCTGACGCTGTGGGATCGAATTTTCAGCTAGCTTTCCTGTGGATGCACCAACGTATCCCATTTCCACACCAACTGCACTGAGCTGCAACAGCCTTTGGACTTGGACAGTTTTTAGTCCTACTTATTCATTTGCCAATAGAAATAAGTGGCTGTACGTGCTCAAGCCGTGGCATTTGTGAAGGCTGGCTGTAAACTTCATTAAAAGGAGATAGAGTCATGAAAGAGATAGTGACATTCTCTCTTTTTTTTTTTTCTTTCCCCTTCTTTTCTCTTTTCAGCTTTTCCAGCTTCTAGTGCCAAAGGAGAAGTATGATAAAAGTCACGTTATATTAGAAGTGACAGCTGGCAGAACAACTGGAGGTCAGCAAACTCTCCACTAAAGATTACTCCGAACCTTCACCCAACATTTTAAGTCTCTTACGGGTTATTCTTAATGCGTTTTTACACTTCAGTGGCATAAAGCCATACTTCCTTAATCTGTATTATTTATTATCAGCATTAATCTGTTTTATGAGCGCGAACACAGTTGCAGTGAAATCTTCAAACCCGTGGCTGCCGTTCTGCAGACTGCTATTTATGTTGTAGCGCCTTTATATTTATAGGTGACATCTGCCAACAGTTCACTAAAGAAATGTTTGAGATGTACCAGAACTATGCGGGCTATAAATGCTGGACCTTTGACATTCTGAACTACGTGCCAGCTGAGATAGGTACAGTAGTTCTCCAGACGTCCCATCCAGACAACGACATTGAAGGCTGTGTTTGTGGGCTGTGCTTTCCACGCGTTGTTTGTCTCTATAGGTGGGTTGCATCACGCGGCTGCTCATATTTCAGGAGATGATGTCTACAGGCATCTGAAATATGAAGGAGGGACTCACAGAGTCCAACGAATCCCTGAGACCGGGCTGTCATCGAGAATGCAGCGTATTCATACGGGGACAATGTCAGTTATTGTGCTCCCTCAGCCAGAGGAGGTAACTATCTGTTCATCTCAGCAACAAGGAAGTGTGTTGCTGGCACTGGAGTGGGTGTTATTTAAAACCACGGTACTGTTAGGGGATTTTATTGAAACCCAAGTGCTTTGAGCAAGTCTCAGCGAGTAAAACCACAGGCTCTGTGGTTCTGGAAGGCAGCAGGACTTGGCTGTGTACCTTACATTTTTAAGTGGGTCGTCAGAAGCGACTGCACAAATGTTTGCTACTGCCCGAAAAAGCGAGCGCATCGGTGGTCATTTCAGTGAGTGTTCCAGCCCCAGTGCCTGCAAAACTGGAGCGAGCCAGCTTTGAGTTAAGTCACATATTAAGATTGGGGGATATATCCGAGAAAATATTCAGTGTTGCCTAGGAAAGTGACTCAGCAAGTCCTTTACTACGTTTTTGTTCATTTAAATTGTCGGTGTTCAATCAAGGACTGTATGCTTTGCATTTGAATGAGCGTGTTGGGTGGTCTTCCTGAGATTTTTCTGATACCACCAGATCTCTCTAAAACTAGCAAGTTATGCAAAGAATAACCAAAACCAGATCTTGTAGACTTTTCCTGCAAATTCTCCTGCTTCCTTGTAGTGCTTTCCCTGCAACACTGGTCAGATCTGAATGTTGCTTTCGTATCCACTGAGCTCAAACTTGGTCCACGTCATCATGGACTCCTATCCTTAGCTGGATCTGGATACACCTAATGTTTCCCCAGGTAGATGTTTTTAACCAGTGTTGCAAAAATCCCTCAGGCTTGACTCATGGAACTCATTCTTTTAGCTTCCCATGCAGACGTACCTTGTTTTCTGAGGGATCTGGAGCAAGAGCAGGTCCAGAAGAGGGCCACAAAGATGATCAGAGGGCTGAAGCACCTCCACTATGAGGACAGGCTGAGACAACTGGGGCTGTTCAGCCTGGAGAGGAGAAGGCTCCAAGAAGATCTCATAGCGGCCTTCCAGTACCTGAAGGGGGCCTACAGGAAAGCTGGGAAGAGACTTGTTAGAAGGGCATGTATCAAAAGGATGAGGGAAAATGGTTTTAAACTGGAAAAGAGTAGATTTAGACTAGAGAGTAGGAAGAAATTCTTGGCTGTGATGGTGGTGAGATACTGGAACAGGTTGCCCAGAGAGGCTGTGGATTCCCCTCTCTGTAAGCATTCAAGGCCAGGCTGGATGGGGCTTTGAGCAACCTGGTGTAGAGGGAGGTGTCCCTGCCTGTTGCAGGGGGTTGGAGCTGGATGATCTTAAAGGTCCCTTCCAACCCAAACCATTCTATGTTTCTATGATAATGATTGTAGCTGATACTCAAGCACAGTTGAAAATTAGTGGGTTTTTAATAAGTGATTTCTTTTACTCTGTCACTGAAAAGGCAGTCAAAATAATTTAGGAAGAGCAGAAAACAGTAGTTTTCTTTGCTTTTAGGTTGATGTTAAAGTGGATCCCAAAGATCTGCGTATAGACACATTCCGGGCCAAAGGAGCAGGAGGGCAACACGTCAACAAAACTGACAGTGCTGTGAGGGTTGTACATCTTCCCACAGGTGAGTCTGGCTGTGGTTGGTAATTCTGAGCACTCTGCATTCTGGAATGAAAGCTTGTGACTCTGTAAGTCTGCAGGATCATGCCATCTACCAAGATGTCAGTAGCCCTTTTTTGTTCTGTCGTCTTCTAACAAAGTAGCATGGGGGAAGGGGAACTTGAGGAGTGGCACGATGACCAACATGCTGCTGTTATGCTTAATGAACACACTGTCTTTGAAGGATGAAAGAATAAATGGAGGATCTCGGGGATGGGGTGGAAAATGTAAATAATTTGTGCTGACTGATTCAGGAGAAATGGCCATTGTCAGCTAAGGGTGAGCTTTGCCTAGCTGCAGCAGGCAGAAAGAGGAGCTTGAAGATTTCCATTTAGTACTAGATAATGCTATCCAAAGTTAAGTAGGAAAGAAAATGTGCTGATGGGAAGTTAACATAGGTACTGAACCACTGTCTTTCTTAGGATTTGCTTGTACTGAAGTTCAGTGGGCCTGTATCTGTCCAACCTGAAAAAAAGGCTTTGGGCTTTTCATTTTGGAAATCAGACAGGAAGTAAAAAAACAAAAAATCAGACCTTTTTATCTTATTTCATTATTTATAATTCAGCTTAAGGCTCTCTAGTATGGCTCTGATGCTCTCCTCTTCTAAAATAAGAAACTTTCAAGTTTCCAAGAGCTCGTGTAGATGAAGACATTCAAAACCCACATTACATTTTTTTAAGCATGCTCTTGTAGATTCAGCAACTTCACTTTTGCAATGTGTGACAGCTACCTGGAGTAAACCTGTCCTCTGGAGGCAGCATCCAGAGAATGATAATTCCAATGAGAACTGTTTGCTTTATGGAATCTCACAGTACCCCTAGCTTTTCTGTAGCACCAAACAAATCTCCTGGTGCAGCTGTGAGGAGTTTAAAAACATGCTAATGGCTTGAGACATTGTGTTAAAATGACTTTCTATCCTGCAGCTGAAAGGCCCTAAAAATGAGCACTCCTAGAAGGTGTCATTTGCCTAATGCGATTGAATTAATTTAGCTTGTTTGTTCTGTGTTTGAATGGGCTTTTTGCTCTGCTCTATCTGATATTCTACTGTGAAGGGGTGGTGGTTGAGTGCCAGCAGGAGAGATCGCAGCAGATGAACAAGGAAATGGCTCTGAGGACGCTAAGAGCTAAGCTGTACCAGCAGATCATTGAAAAACAACTGAGTCAAGAGCAGAGCGCCAGGAAACTGCAGGTGAGAAGGGATGGCTGATGAACTTGGGAAGGGTGCTTTGTTGTAGGGGGGTTTCTCCGAGTGTCTGTGTCTGACAAATTGTGCTTACGAAGGAGAATCCTGGGTGTCAAGATGCTAACTCTGCTTTGAAACTGCACATCCGTTGTTTGCTTATCCCAATTCAGCCCTAGTGTACAATTTTCAGGTAATGAAAGAGCCACAGACTGTGGGTGGAAAGAAGAGGATCATAAGAATGTAGCTGCAATGACCCAAAAAGCAGTACTCGGCACCTGACGTTGTGCTACACAGCTAGAGCAGCAGCCAAAATTCAGATGAGAGGTTCTTGGGGTTGTATTTTAGGCTGTTTCTAAAGCACGGTGTTTGACAAGCTGGTGTAGCTTCTGGGAGAAACAAGTACACAGAGGAGCCTGCCATTTCACAGCTCTGTTTGCTGTGGGTTAAGTAACCTCTGAAAGAAGAAACTTCAAATCCGAGTTGCCTCAAGTTGTGCTGCAGGCTGTACTTTCCTCTTAAGTGTGCCAACATTCTTTTCCCATTCTTTGAGTATTTTGCTGTTTGCAGTGCAAACTTCAATAGCGACCAACAAGAATAAAAATACTTGGCAAGACCAGAATTCTTCAGCGTTCCACCGCTTCCAGCTTAGCCATTTAATTGCTCACTTCAGGCTGTGTGTCAGTGTGTTGTTCCTGCAGATTATTAACTCTGTCTCTGTAATTGGTGAGCCATTTATCTGCTGTTAATCATTTTTGCTCGAGAGTTCTCAAGGCTGCATTAAAGGACTTGAGATTTACATTTATGTTAATGCTGTAGAAAATCAGGCTACAGTGGATTAGCTTTTATAATGATTCAGAATATATAAAATCCCTTCTTTTGAAACACAAATGTGAGTGCAGGTGGAATTTAAAAGAAAAAAGCAGCTCGTGCAAGTAGACACTCATTTCTCTAAGTAGTTTTCAGCGTGTAGTTCTCCTTTTTAATACAATGCTTAACCGTGCAACCAAGCTACACTTGGAGTTGAGCATGAAGTCTTTTCGAACTGATTGCACTGCTTTACTTCACCACCAGAGGACTCCTCTGTGTCCGCTCGATTTACTCTCCGCTCATTTCTGACGGCCTGATGTTAGCAAACCCCTTTGCCACCCTCTGTGAAGCAGACATCGGTTGTGCTGCTACTGTTACGAATGGCTCCCACTCACTGCCTTTTGTGGGAATGCCTTCTGCCTTCCATGGCTTTTGAGACTGACGTAATTCTTGTTCTATTCCTGTGGTGCTCTGCTACAGTTGGGAACAAGAGCCCAGTCAGAGAGAATTCGTACTTACAACTTCACCCAGGACAGAGTCACTGACCACAGGATCTCGTATGATGCACGCAATATCAAGGTAATGGTTGCTTAGGAGGGTTTTAAGACTTAGATACTTAACTGTGCCACGTAAAGCAAACTGCAAGCTTGTGAAAATAATTTAAAATATATGGGGAAATCACATGGCTATTCACATCCTAATAGAACACGACTAATTCAAGAAGCCTACACTTCTCTGCCTTTCTTCAGGAAATAACGAGCTGACCTAGGGCTCTGTGTATTTCTCTCTAGCTATACGAATGAATGATGCTCAATATGTAGTCCTCCTTAGTGAGCTCTGTGAGAACTCCTGGAGTAGTCCCCACTGCAGAATGGTACTGAAGTATCCTCTGTAATGCTTTGGTCTGCTGTTATTTTCCCATAGGAAATTCTGAGTGGGAAAGAGGAACTGGATAAGCTAATAAACAGGCTGCTGGAGTTTGCAGAGATGGAGGCTCTCACAGAGTATCTAGAAAACCTTCAGTCCATGGGAGGAGAAGGATGCTGAAGATCTTGTGTGGAGCTGAAGCAGAACTGGGTTTGTAACTAAATAAAATGGGCACACTTATTGGATGACAGATTGATTAAAATCTATGCCTCTGTTTTTCAATATGTGCAATTGCTCTTTTCATGCCTTGGCACAAATGAATTTTATGGGTTGAATTTACATCTCCCCCAGCAGAAAAGAAGAGTCACTGATTACTGTGTGCACATACCTTCTGTCTTGGCAGCAAGGCTTTTTGAAGCCAGTTCTTCTCTCGTCCATATTGCAGCTGGACAGATGTAGAATTGTGGTGATGGAGAAGAAGAAATACCACATACTGCACATTTTGCTCTGGAGGTAGGAGATGTCCATCCCAGGCTGGATGTGGCTCTGGGCAGCCTGGTCTGCTGGTTGGTGACCCTGCACATAGCAGGCGGGTTGAAACTAGATGATCACTGTGGTCCTTTTCAACCCAGGCCATTCTGTGATTCTGTGGTTCTGTGATTTCTGTGATCCAGGTGAAAGAACCTAAGCTCCCCTTACATAGCTTAGAATCTGACTTTGTCAATAGCACTTATTTGTATCATTTTTATCCACCAATGGAGGTGGATAAACTCGTGCAATGAGCCTGCAGGGGGCTGCAAACTCTGTGTACGTGCCTTGCACCTTTTTTTGGCCTCGGTCCACTCCTCACTTCCAAGGAAGTGTGAGTAGGCTCTGTCCCACAGGAAAATTCCTCTCCAGAGATGATCCTCCTGTCTGTAGCCAAGGCAGTAGCTTTGCTGTAGAACTTCTTAAATGGAGTCCTTTCAAAAATCACTCCATGTTAGGATGCTTTATTTTGTTCCAGGACACGTACAAAGTCAAAGCTACTTTGACAAGGGGCAGCTGTGCCCATCAGTGCTCTTGCAGGCATTCTTGGGTCAGCTGAGGGTGGGTGTGGAGCACGTGCTGTGCTGGGTGCAAAAGTGCTTGCTATAGAATCAAATGAAGGTGACAACACTTTGGAAGGAGTTCGACGATGACACCAGGCAGCTTTCTGCTTGTTGACAGAAAGTGAGTTCACACCGTCGATGTATTTTAGTAGATAAGGTGCACCTGGAATTCAGCTTCTGCACTGATGTCTTTGGGAATGTGTGCCTGGCTCTGAGGGCAAACCAGGCATCTGTAGAGAGCTCAGCTTTAGCAGGGCCTGCGTTCATGTTTTCCCCTCAGCACGCATCGTGCAATGTGCTCAACACGCACTGGTGCGTAGGCAGGCAGCAGGCAGAAGCAGACATGCTCACTTCTTACACAGCACCCAAAATTACACAAGTGTGGCACTGAACCAGGCTGGCTGCTCAATCAATGCATCCCTTTCTTTATCCTGCTCTTCCCAAAGTGTGCTTTTCAATGGCTCTGCACTGTGTTTTGGATGTGAAGAGTCCATTCATTGTTATGACTTAAATTACACTTAAGCCAACCACAATATCTGCACGTCCACTTTGTAATCAAGAATGATACAAGAACTGAGAAAATATCAGTTATTTCAAGAAAAAAACAATATTTCAATACTGAATCTTCTGGATTTTATAGTATACATAGTATAGTATATATATAGTATATATAATAACAGTTTTAAATGTAGATAGAATCAGAATTAATTTTTCAATTTGTGTGTTTTTGCACAGTCTTCACAAGTTTTGTTTGCAAATTCTTGACATGCTTTCAACGCTTTGAATTACAAAATCTTTGGTTTTTTTCATTTGTAGCTCTATAAATCAAGAGTGAGCTCATTATCGTGTGACTTAAGAGTTGTTGGCACGTTGACTGCCTGCAGGTACATGCACACCTCAGCTCTCAGTTCTGCAGTACTGTCAAACCAGTGATAACACACGCAATGAGTGAGCTGGGGCTGGGGCTGCAAACTCTGTGTACGTGCCTTGCACCTTTTTTTGGCCTCGGTCCACTCCTCACTTCCAAGGAAGTTTAAGTAGGCTCCGTCCCACAGGAAAATTTCCTGTCCAGAGATGATCCTCCTGTCTGCAGCCAAAGCAGTAGCTTTGCTGCAGTTTTATTCTTTTTCAAGGTAAGATTCTTCAGGCAAGGAGTTAAGTTTTGTGCCTTTTTTATCTTGGATGCTAGCATAGTATGAATAAATGACTTCTTGGGAGACAGATAAACTCCATTCATACAAATAAGCCTGTTTCACTGGAACAGGCTGCCCAGGGAGGTGGTGGAGTCTCCTTCTCTGGAGATGTTCAAGACCTGCCTGGATGCCTACCTGTGTGACCTGCTGTAGGGAACCTGCTTTGGCAGGGGGTTGGACTCGATGATCTCTGGAGGTCCCTTCCAACCCCTACAGTTCTGTGATTCTGTGAAATAAGCTGGAGAACTGTTTTCTTCTCGAGGTAAAAGAATTTGGCTTTTCTAATATAGGTTTCACTTGGACACCTGTAAAACTTCCTTACCTTTAATGCAGTGGTTGTCAAAATGTCAAGGAAAAAGAAGTTTTCAAATGAAAAAGATTGTATTTGCCGCCTACCCGACCCCTGGAATTCGATGTCTCTCAGCTGTTGTTTCCAAGACCTAGCTACAGTTGTGTGCAGGTACCTGAGACCTCTAGCATTGGCTACACAAATAGCATCATCTTCTTGCTCTGGCCACAAACCCCAGCTTGTTTCACATGACAGAAGATGGATCAGAACTCACATACAGAGTGCGTCTGCTGCCAGGGCCGGGATACCCAATGGGTCAACCAGAAAAGCTTCTTGTGATGCGAGGTCGTCCTTGTGGGCTGTGGCTTGGTACAACCTCCACTTCATCACTCAGATCCTGGTACCTGTGCTACCTAGAATGACCATGATTCCTTTTGTAGCCAAGAGTTGTCTCTAATTCAGCTGAAAGGCAGGGCTAGTGGAACGTGATGCTGTCTACGTAGGCACAGGTGTACTTACAGTGCTCTGCTGAATTATGCATACGTGTTATCTGTATTATTTTGAATAAACAAAACTATAATGAAATACTCATAGAATCACAAAATGGCTTGGATTCAAAGGAACCTCAAAGCCCAGCCAGCTTCAACCCTGTGGCCAGTGCCACCCATCAGATCCTGCTGCCCAGAGCCCCATCCAACCAACCTGGCTTTGAGTGCCTCAAGGGACGGAGAAAAAGAAAAGTGTAAGGTGTTGTGATGGAGGAAAGACGGATTCTTATCTTCTATATGTAAATAGACCAGCACTGCTACCTTGTTCTGATGACTTTCAGTGAATCATCAGCAGAATGCAGAAGGGAAGGTAGCAGAGATCCTGGCCCTGCAGACGGGTGTATTCCCATGATGCAGTGAGCTGCTCACTATCATTGAGCCCCATTCCCAGATGCCCCATCCCTGCAGGCATTCAAGGCCAGGCTGGATGTGGCTCTGGGCAGCCTGGTCTGGTGGTTGGTGACCCTGCACATAGCAGGGGGTTGGAACTGGATGATCACTGTGGTCCTTTTCAACCCAGACCATTCTGTGATTCTATGATTTACTTAAAAGGAGAGACGTTGCTAGCTATAAAACTGAATATTTCATATTCTGGTTGCCCTAAGTCACCCAATTTCATGCTAGCTGCTTAGTGTTGCTGCATAGTTATTTTTAACTTTATGTAAAATAATAATAATAATAATAATAATAAGCTACCAAATGATCATATTGACAGGAAGATTTTTTATCAGGAAAGGCATTATTGAATAATCTGCACACATTGCCACCTCTCTGAAGTGCACATCTTTAACTCTCTGTTGCTTCTCATTCTTGAGACCAACAGCTGCAAAGGCTCCTGAGTAACCGTGTGTTACCATCAAGAAATTTATATACTTAGATACAGTCTGAATGAATAAATCCATTGCCAGCAACTGCACAGTGCACTGCTGGGAAGCACTGCAGTGCTGACCACAGTCTAAACAGCATTTCTTTTAATGAGCACCTCCCTATTTACACCTCCAGTTTATATTCCCATTTTGAACAGAACACGCACCCATAAATCATACAGTCATAGAATCACCAAAGTTGGAAGAGACCTCCAAACCCGTTGAGTCCAACCATCTACCTACCACCAATGTTTCCCCACTAAACTATGTCCCTCAGTACAACATCTAGGACCAAGCACTGACCAACACCCCCAGGTTCATTTCTTCCAGTCTTCCAGCCACTGCCCCAAGCCTGTAGCAGACTGGGGTTGTTGTGGCCAAAGTGCAGGACCTGGCACTTGGTCTTATTGAAACTCATCCCATTGGCCTCAGCCCAGCAACTCAGCCTGTCCAGATCCCTCTGTAGAGCCTTCCTGCCCCCAGGCAGATCGACAGTTCCTCCCAGCCTGGTGTCATCTGCAAGCTTACTGAGGGTGCACCCAATGCCTTCGTCCAGGTCATCAATGAGATACAGGACAGGCCCCAGTACTGCAAATGACCAGTAAATGTTAGAATATCTAAAACACCTTGAATATGTGAGCAACAGCAATACAGATCATTTCAGTAAAAGCTTTATTTGGTATTTCTGTATAAATTCCACTTCAAAGGCTTGCAGTATTTTGTCATTCCAACAGAGAATTCTTACAGAGAACAACTGCTCAGCTTTACAGATAACACAAAAGAAAATGAGGGCTTCGAACGACTCCATGTTTCACACCACTCCTGTAAAACAAATGATGAAAACCCCAAACAAAATCCCAAAGCTTGGTTGGTTGGTCACAGCAGTGACTCTCGTGGTTCATAGGACAAACAGCAGGTAGAAGGTGAGACAATCTGACAGGTGGTTCCAAGAAGACGGCACAGAGGTACCTGACAGGCCATGAGCAAAGGGCTGCAGCAGCAACGGAAGGGATACAGACAGCTTGGAACCTAAAAGCTCAAGGATGGAAGGTATGCAAGCCCTGTATGAGGAGTGGAATGAATTCTGGCTCAGGAAAACAAATTCTTGAGAAAATCCAAGAGCTGGGGACAGGAGGAGGCGTTCACTGGCACTGCGGCACAGCGATGACACAGAGATTTGCATATATCAGAATACTGGAGGAAGACAGTTTGAGGAAGACACCAATAATTTAGAAAAGCACTGAAAAGGGGTGGCACGACTTGGGAAAAAAAACAAACAACAAATCAAGGATGCC